TTACCCCAGACACCACCAACAAACTCGTACACTCCATCATCTCACGCCTGGACTATTGCAATTCCCTTCTCACTGGCCTACCCAAACAAACGCTATCCCCACTCCAGTCGATCCTAAACTCAGCGGCTAGACTCATCCACCTCACCAACCGCTCCACATCTGCCTCCCCCCCCCTCTACCAATCCCTTCATTGGCTCCAGATTGCCCAACGCATCAAATTCAAACTGCTAACTCTGACCTACAAAGCCATTCACAATGCTGCCCCAAACTACATAACTGACCTTATACCCAAATACTACCCTACCTGTGCCCTCCGCTCCTCACAGGACCTCCTACTCTCTAGCTCCCTTGTCTTCTCCTCCCACGCCCGATTGCAGGATCTTCCCCCATCCTCTGGAACTCCCTACCCCAATCCATCAGACTGTCGCCTACCCTCCTCACCTTCAGGTGCACCCTGAAAACCCTCCTCTTCAGGGAAGCCTACCCCAACCTCACCTAACACCAGACCTCACCCAACAACGAACCTCCTCCACTCCTCCCGCCACTCCATCCCCCACAGCCATCTCCTCCTGTGCCACCTTCCCCTCCCTCCTAGACTGTAAGCTCGAAAGAGCAGGGTCCTCGAACCCCTCGTGTATTGTATTGTTACTGTCTTGTCTCATGTTCTGTCCCCCTTGCTACTGTACAGCGCTGAGCATACCCTTTGGTGCTAAATACTGTATAATAATAATAATATTGTAATGTATATATATTTACTGTATTATTTAACATGCATACAGGCGATATAGGATTATAACTTTGTATACAACAAAAATCACACTGATTTTTATGCAAGTGTGTTGTCTAGTGCTGCCTATAAAAATACCTTTTTATTTTTTGATATTGTGCAAATCTAGTTTACAACTGATATTGAGATCTGTCAGCACAAGTGCAGGGTTATTATATAAAAATGTAACTCTCCAACCACCTCATAAAGAGACCTAAGTAGGATTTTCAGCCCTGGAGTTATCGGGATGGGGGGGGGGGGGGACGGGGGGGGGGGGGGGGGACATTTAAAATGGTAAGCAGTAATTTTTAAATATTTTTTTTTTTAAAGTTACGCTCTGTGAATGAAAACCTGTAGCAAATATAAAATAGGCTTTATTCCAATTTGGCTGCAACAAGTGGAAATACACTTTAGGTCAGGTACTGCTGTTTAAATACACTTTCACTCTCTAAAAAGAGACACATTACTTAAAAAAAAAACAAAAAAAAAAAAAAAAAAACCTTTTTTGCCCACCTCAAAGAGTGATTGATTTATACCTTCTAGTCTAGTGTACTGGGACATCTTATTGAGTCAATACTGGTCATAGCTTCTGGCTTTGTTCTCAGCCACCTTTAGGGTTTGCTCTTCATGACAGGTGAAGGGTGAAAGGATGTTTGTAAACTTTATTGGACACTGCCTTGTCTTGTTTGGTAGAAAATACCCGACCCCTTCCAATATGCTCTGTCAGTAGTCCCAATGATTAGTGCTACAATTTTAGTATGAGAAAAATCAGAGAGGCACAGGAATAGACTTTTCTGAGGGCAATCTGTACTCAACAGTTTACAGAATGCCCCAGTTGCCATTAGTTCCAAGGGGAATATTTCAAATTGCAAAAAGTATGGGTGGAAACACAATGTGGGATTTAAATATCTGTCTAAATCAAGTATATAATATTTACATTTTTGCTGGTCTTACATGATCATAGATGGCTGCGGATTGAAGTAAATTCTAATGAGATTCGATTAGAAAGACATATGTAGCAATTATGTTAATTTTAATTAAAGTTTCCCTTCAAAGTCAAATATTGGCTTTAATTATTCATTAATCCACTTTTTTTTTTTTTACATATGTAGTCAAAAGTCTGCAAGAGGTCAAACTGGGAAAGGCAATATAAAAGGAGTCATTCATTTGTACTCATGTGCTAATAAGGAGCATGCTGATTGGAGATGAGCACAAAATGAGGTGAGAGCTCAGTCTGCTGCTTCTCCTTTCACTGTCCAGTCATAGGCTCAGGGAAGGACAGGAACCTTAAGTGTAACTCAGCTGCAGTAGAGAAAAATCAGGTCTCCAGCTCTGCTAGACAATGGTGTGTTGTGTCGCAAAGCTGTGTAAATCTTTGGACTGGATGTATAGAAATATAAATCCCTTTTTCAGGTAAAATCGTTTTCTTGTATGCATTTCATCTTTGTATTTAGGCATTTGCTGGGAATTTAGCTTTAACAATTAAATACACACACAATTTACAGGAGGGAAAAAAAAAACAATAAAAAAAAGCAAACAATTCCACTACGAAAGCAAGTAAAATGAAAAATTCTGTATTTAATATACAATGCTGAGGTCAGAGGAAAAGTACTCAGTAATGAGCACAGTGCTGTGTTATTGGTCTAGAATGAGGATAGTAAGAACAGGTTTCTCTACCTGTACATGACAGTACATACTGGATACAAATGCAACAAGTTGAGAAACATTCTTCTACATCTGTACATTGAAATTGGCAATACCACAAATATGACAAAAGATAAAACTATGCACAATAGAAAAAAAAAATTAGTAAGGTATAAATGCAAGAATTTTCTTTAGAATGTGAAGAATAACCATTAACGTTTTATATTAGCTCAATATTCATTCTCTTTTTAAATTTATGTGGAAAAGCAGTGAAGTGCTTTACAATAAATTATAACTTAAGAATACATCAACCAAACAATTCCATACAATCAGGTTTAGCTTTATAAACACAAAGAAAAAACAGAATTACAGTACATTAACATCACGTGACAAGATACAGGAAATTCATTAGAAAATATTGTAATAAATAATTCATGAATTATAGTGCAATTGATTTATGCATAAATAGAACTCACTGCCTAAAATAAGTTTATATAGTCAACAAAATCTTTTGAAAGTCAAGCCAGCTACACACTGCAGTTATACCAAATTACTGGAAATGGAAGTGACAATGGAAAGGCTGTAAATAAAAAAAATAAAATAATAATACACAAACTGGAATATCACTGTAAACGACCAATCATCTTCAGTAGGTTAATTTACAATGCAATATAAAATAGTCAGAAACTACAAGAAATGGTTTAAACAATTTTACCGATCAGTAGTCTTAAAAACAGAGGCACAGCTTTTTTTTCATTTAGTGTTTTTTTTTACCTTTTGTTTTTCATTATAAAAGATCTTGATAACATTCAAACAGGCCAAAAATAAAATAAAGGGTTTACCTCTGCCTTCGGTTGTGTTAAGCAGTGAGCAGTAAATACATTTGATTGTTTTACCCAAAGGCATTGATTAAATTATACATAAAAAAGTATTTGAATGTGAAGGACTTGAAATATAGACAAATGTGTTTTAAAGTTGTGTGTTATACCACCAATGCATAAAACAGATAAAATATCCCTATGAAGTTAAAAATAAATACTACAAACTGTACGGATATAAAATTAGTGAAGGCTGTTACTAAAAGACTGTCCCTGATAGTAGGAAATCTGTTAACTGTTTTTTTTTTATTATTTAATTCTACTTAGAGGTTGTCTGGTTACCTTACAGATATTTTATTCACAGCAAAGGTTGAGGAAGTTGATATTACCTGAACTGTGTAAGACATTTTAATGTATTTAAAAACATTTAAAATCAAACAGAGTTACATAGGCGCATGAGATAGACCGTTTTTTGCAAAAAATAAAACTGTAACATTTAGCTGTAGAAGGTCTTTAAGTAATCAAAACCCATGCATGTAAAACTGTACAAAACTAAATTTAAGTGCATACGTGCAAAATAATGTCTGCTCAGAGTAGTTTCAATTTTCTCAAAGAGCTACGGCAATAAAAATTTGATGTATGAAAATAGTCTGAATTTCAGAGGTAAGAGAAACAGTGTAATGCCTTGCAACCCACAACAATGGAGTGTTCGGTGAAGTAGATTACTAATTAGAAAACAAACCTACATCCTACCACTTACAGTAAAAAAATCACAAATTTTCATAGAAAAAAACCTCAGTCTAAGGGTGTTTTGTATATTCAAAACCCTGAACAATTTGCAGGTTTGGTCATTAGCAAAAAAGTTACAATTGGTCTGGGGAAATTCAACTTGGACCACAAAGAAATGGTTTTTGAACTGTGGCAGCAGCAAATACATAAACAGTTACATTGAGGTCCATTGATTGCATGAGTATGACAACACTCGAGGGGGGAAGAAATTACCCATGTTTTAAGCTGATCTTGTGCACATTATGAGCATGCTCTAACCTGCATTCCAGATTTCCTAACATAGTTCATTTTCAAAAAGAAAAATTTTTTTTTATAAATTATTTTGATAAAGTTAAATATTTTTGTTTTATAGTTTATTTAAAGTCACTTTCACAGTGACTTTCTACAACTACCTAAATAGGAGATTTTTGTTTTGTTAAATGCCCATCTCATTGATAAAAGATGTAATTAAAATGCAGTATTTTACTTTTACAACATTTAATTAGTATTATACACTTGTAATAATGTGTTCTACCAAACCTCTTTTTAAATCTTAGTATGTGTGGATACTAAAAGATTGGACAGTTATTCTGCATTGAAATAATACTGCATGCTTCCACACATAAGGTCGTCATTACCTGTAGGTGATCCAGAAGAACTTAAAAACCAGAGTAGAAAAACCAATAACTAGAGTACGAAACGTCCTACCACTGTCAAAAGTTTAGGAGTGGAAGTTGTGATTGAAACATTGGTACTGTAGTAAGTAATGTTAATCATAGTTTGTTTTCTGCTGTTAACTATGACCTATAAACCCTGAAGAAGTTTTACCTATTTAAGCAAAACGAATGCTTAATACATAGTATCAGTAGTAAGTGTGCAACAAAAAATTTAGTCCACAGTGAAAACCCTGAATTATCTATTTTAAAGGCATGAATGTGGTTAAGAACCGTATTGTTTCGTCAGAGTATGTTACGTCACACTCAGTTGCGTGTACAGTAGAAGTGTGTAACAAAATTAGGGTCTGCCAGGCGAAGCTTTTTTTTCGGAGGGTTCTTCAGTGTTCCAGACCGTTCTTTGACTTTGTATTCTAAAGTGCTGTGAGGTACGCCATAAATTCCTTGTGCTTTAGAAACACTCATTTTCCCACCAAGTACCATGGCTATAGCTTCTTCCATAATTTCATGATCATATTGTCTGTATCTACCCCGTTTTTTCCTTGGCTGTTTGTCTTTCCGGTCATCATCTGGGTTGTCAGAAGATGTGTCGCCAACTCCATTCTTGTTATTAAGACACAAAGGAGAAAGATCTCCATGAACAACATAGGAATCGACGTTGGAACGTGTTAGATTTCCCGAACATTCAACTTTGTTTTGCTTGGGAAGAATGTTTTTTAGTTTTTGTAGAGATGAATTTTCAATAACTCCAGAGGTTTTAGTAACCTGATACATCACATCCAGAAGACCAGAGGAATCGGGCTGTGGTTTGGGCACAGAGTTCACTCGTACCTGAGGAATTTTTAACTGTACAGTGGGAACTGAAGATTCACAATGCAAAACTTCCTTTTTTTCTTTGAACTGAGCAACCATTCTCTGTAGAGTTAACTGATGGAGGTAACTGGAAGCGGTTGGGAGTTTCAGTTCTGAAGTTTCAAGTAGACTGAGTTTACTTTTTTCTGTATGCTCGGCCTGAGCCTTTGCCCACAGGGCGACTTTTTGAAAAACAGCACACGTCTCGGTGCTGTCTTTGTATAAATACCCATCATTACAATTTTGAGCTGTGTTTTTAAAATATGCAGGCTTGCCTGCTGATAAGGCTTTTAAGTGAAGTATTAAAGTTTTTTGAGGTATGCCATAAAGTATGGCTGCTTTGTTAATATCCAGTGTTCCCAGCTGAACATCCTTCAATGCTTTTGAAAGCAAACCGTCTGCAAATTCAGGACTTCGGTCCAAATAGTCATCTCTCTCTCTCTGAAGTCTCCTGGATGAATGGAATGAAACGATGGTCAACGGATGCATGAGACGTGTACACAGGTATGGAAAGGTCCACTCCTTTATTAAAACTCCTTGCTTAGGTAACATCACCGCTTCTGATAAAGTTTTTATTCAAAACGTGGAAGTTAGAAGTTATAGAATCTTTACACGTCTGCTTGGACACTGTCAATGGTACGATGGCTTCTATAGCAACCCAGTCAAGTATTCAAGAACATTTGGTAAATAATTTCTTTAGTATATATTTAAGTGCATACTAATCCAGCTGACAGTTGCTTGCGGAGCCAAACTTATGATTTTTAACTTAAGCAATTAGTAAGCCCTTAATATTCAACTTTTTGTTAGTAGAAACGTGACGTTACCGCTAAACAAGTAATAAAAGAGTAAACCCCCTTTTCAAGGATTTGCTGCAGTAACAAAGTCTTACACACACACACACAAAAAAAAAATACAATCAGAAAAACTCTACATGAAATGCACCAAACAAACACAGACCCAAACACACATGAAAATATAACAAACATTTGAATAGTTCACCTAGAAGACCCGTGAAGAGATACAAAATGATTTAGTGGACAGAAAGAAACTGAAATGAAACCAACACAAGTGTAACAAATCTGGAAGCTGGAAAAGTTAACTGAGCTGAAGGTCTAACCAAACTCAGCTTTGTTAAAATTTAGGACCTAAGTGTGAAAATGGAGTTAAAGCATTTAGTGTATGGCATGTTTGCATTAAGTACCATGAAACCTGTTCTACTCTTTGATGAATTGAAAAATATGTTAAATCAGAATCATATTGCTGCTTACACAGTTATGAAAAATGTTATATACTGTATATTTTGTAATCTGCCACTTCAATGTTTGTCACTATCAAACATTACTAATCTTGTGTTAAAGAACACCTGTCATAAAAAAAAAAAAAAAAACCCCACCAAAAAACAAAAAGGTGTGGATTACAGGCTATTGACCTCTATGGGAACTAGTCCTAAACTGCATATTTGTGAACAGGATAAAAACCTGAGCTAATCTAACCTGAACCTGATCCGATGAACAACTACTGTATCCATTAGCTGTGAAACCTGAGCTTCAACCCGCACCACACGTGTGAATCAGCTCTAACAGACAGAGCAAGTGTGTTTTCTGGATGGAGTTTGCTGCCTCTGTTGCTTCCCACCACGCTGCAGTGTCTGGGAGGGAAGTATGTGAGAAACAAAATGGAGGATATTGCTAAAATCGGGGAAGGTAAAGGCTTTTTTTTTTTTTTTTTTTTTTTTTTTTTAAAGGCTTTGGCATCACATAGCAATTGGATTTGGAATTTGTTTAGACTGTCATACAGGAACCTTTATTTGTACTTTTTCAGGACAACAAGACACTCGTCAGATAATATTGTCTTGCAAAAAAACAAAGCACATTTCTTCTAACTTGACACTTTTTTTTTTTCTGTGAGGTTGCTTTGACAGACATCACATTCAGTTAAAAAAAAAAAAAAAAAAAAAAAAAAATCACCCCCCTTATTCTTCAGATAAAGAAAAGTAAATACAAAGCAACTATAATATGCGGGAATTTATGGCAAATGTGGTGGGGAGAGTGACACCAGGGGTGTCCTACCCTATATCCACAGCTAAAGTGTTGAAGCCAAAGCATTGTCACGACAGTCAGGGAACTAAGATTTTTCTTAAAAAAAAGTAGAGTTTAGCAATTGTAGGTTACATTTTTTTTTTCATGACAGGTGTTATTTTTAACTGTTAATAGTGCAAAAAAAAAAAGTATATCTAAAATGTGCAAATTTCATACATAAACATTTATAACAGTACTGCAACCTGCTTATGTTTAATCATAGTAATACTAAAAATACTATTACTTGCTGCTATAACTATTGCCGGACTGCTAGTAGTCATAGTCCTTAAGACTACATTCTACAAAGTTTGAGCAGCAGATGCAACCCCCACCTTCCCAAACAAGCCCCCACTATATTCTCTCCATAAAACACAAACATTACAGAAAGGTGCTAGCAACAGGCACAAACAATTTAGCAGCAAGCTAAAACAATGCAGTATGTTTGTCAGATGTGTAACTATTTGCAAAAGGAAAAGTTCCATATAAGTGAAGTTGATACTCACTCAAGTTTGAGATTTTTGATTTTGGAGTTTTCTTCTAGTCCACTGCCATTTCTTTTTACAGAGAGATCCAGAACCCCATCTTCTGCAAAAAACATAAAAAAAAAAAAAAAAACTTTGCATAAAACACATTGTATTAGTGTGTTACGTCAGATACATATTAAGAAAAATATCACAAAAGCAACACTAAGTCATCATCTTTTCATTCACTCTTTGCAAACCTTTGCGTTCCAAGCCTATAGAGTGTGAGTGTGTTTCTTACCCATCTCAGTTTATTCGGGAGATGAATAGGCCCTCTTTATAAAATAGTAATCTCAGCATTTTATGCTACATGGATTGTTCTTCACCCACCAGATATGAAATACAAGGACCTTGTACAGTCTTATTTTATTACTGTATTCATGTACTATGTTGAACTTTAAAACAGTAAAATTGCTTTAAAACAAGCTCTTACTGAACTCTGAAGCTGCCTGTACTGTGAAGAAAATAATCCTCAGATTACAACAGAGAATCTGAAGTGAAATTCCAGTCTGTTTGCAACAGGTTATAGTACATCAGAAAGCTGGCACAGATTTGCATTAACAAGAACTAGGCACAAGTTGGTGTTAACAGGATCTAAGCACACGCTAACGATAACTTTCATAAACACTTAGATCCACTTATACTTTTTACAAATGTACCATTTGGTATGGAAAAAAAAAAAAAAAAAAAAAAAAATAAAAAAAAGGACCTTTGCATTTAAAGTCAGTGGCACTAAGGATCTGTCCATTATAGTGACATTTATTAGTGATGCACAGATATATCAGCTGCCGAAATTATCAGTCGAAAATAGCGTTATTGCCATTATTGACAATGTTTTTTTTTTTTTTTTCATACACGCACACTTACACTGTCAATGAAAGGTATTATAAGTTACTGGATATATATTTAAAAAAATAAATAAATTTGGGTTCAGTTTTTGGCCATGTGCATCCTGAATTTTCGGTTTTGGTCCAGAATTTTCATTTTGGAGCACCACTAATATTTATGAGACATTAATATATTATTGCTATTCACTGGGAAGAAAAATGTATTTTAAGAAAAAAAGTAAGCAGTGTAATACATTGTAAGAATGCATTGCACTGTCCCTTCACAAAGCACATGAACAAGTGTACATTATACAAGGCATAACACATGCATGCTGGTATGAATGGGCTCTTAAAGCAGTACTAAACTCATTGATTTAACATATTCAAAAAACAGTTCCACTGCTGGCATGGGTTTAGTTCTGCTTTACGCTTGAGATAGAGGGAATTTACCAAAACTGGGACAGAATCTGGTGCAGCTGTGCAAGGTAGTCCATCAGCTTCTAGCTTCAGCTTGTTCAGTTAAGCTTTAGAAATGCAAGCTAGAAGCCAATTCGCTGCCATGCACAGCTGCTCCATATTCTGGCTGATCCAGTCTTTGTAAATTTGGCTCAATAAGTGTCAAGTATCAAAAAGTGTCTATGTTAAAATAAGCAAGCACCCCTAGAACCTCAAGAACTGATTAAATATCATTTGGTGTACAACTAGCTTCCAGTTGGAGACATGTACCTGGATCACAGGCTAGGGCCACATTAGTGACTTTAGTCTATAGCTGCTTAAAGCTTTAACCACTTTAGCAATCACCTTATTTGCAGCACCCTGAAATCAATGAACTGCTAAAGAGATAACAAGCAAGTAAATCTCTCACTAGAAAGAGAAGACCTTAGCATTAAAATAAACCCTTCATGATGAAATATGAATGTAATCATAGCTTACCTCTATATCTGAGAATCTCATTTGCCTGACTGTCATGGTGACCCCGTTTCTTTTTAATGTTTATGAGTCATTGTCCCTTTATAAGTGCAGCATGTTCATAAAGCTTTGATAATATTCCCACTTTGAATTGGAATAAATTTACTTAACAGTTAGCCTAAGGCTACATTTGCACCAGCGATTAAGGCCGATGTGAATGCCACCGCCTCCTTTCACTATAATGTCAGGTTGCAGCCGGCTGCAACTATTCACAGCTCTTTGCACAGCCAGCAATTACCTGCGGTGATCGCTGACGGATGCACACAAAGTGCATCCAGCAGTGATCACCATAGGTAATTGCTGGCCATCTAGACAGAAGCGAATACCTGCTGTTGACGGTGACCAGTCATTATAGTGAACAGGGCTAGTGGCCCCTGCAATTTGCACAGCCTTTATTGCCAGGCAGGCAAGTGGCATTTTCCTGAGGGGTGCAGCAATGTTTGCAAAAGGTTTTCCACAACACAGCTAACTCCTTTGATGGCTTTTGGTTTTAAATACAGCGGGTAAAATAAGTATAGAACATGTCACCGTTTTTCTAGGTAAATAAATTTCTATCAAGGTGCTACTTTCACTACATGTTGGTAACACCCCATGTAATGCATACATACAAAACAAGTTCAGAAATTAAGTTATGTGTAATAAAATGGAATGACACAGGGAAAAAAGTATTGAACACGCTACCTGAAATGTATTTAATACTTGGTACAAAATCCTTTGTTGGTAATGACAGCTTCCTGTATGGAGAAATTAGTTGCATGCATTGCTCAAGTGTGATTTTGGCCCATTCTTCCATACAGTCTTCAAATCTTGAAGGTTCAGTGGGCCTCTTCTATGAACTCAGAACTAAAGATCATTCTTCAAACTGTCTATTGGATTCAAGTCAGGTGATTGGTTGGGTCATTCTAGCAGCTATATTTTTTTTCTTTGAAACCAATTCAGAGTTTCCTTGGCTTTGTATTGGGGATCATTGTTATGCTGAAATGTCTACACCCATTTCATCTTCATCATCTTGGTAGATGGCAGCATTTTTTTTTTTTTTATCAAGCATGTCTTGGTATATTTTTTCCATTCACCCTTCCTTCAATGAGATGAATCTTGCCAGTACCGGATGCTGAAATACAGCCCCACACCATGATGTTCCCACCTCCAAACCTCACTGTGGGTATGGTGTTTTTGGGGTGATGTGCAATACCATTTGACCTCCAAACATGGTGTGTATTATGGCATCCAAAGGAGGTCAATTTTGGTCTCATCTGACCAGACTATATTCTCCCAGTATTTCAGAGGCTTGCCTAAATGTTGTGCAGCAAACTTTAAACGAGCTTCAACATGCTTTTTCTTCAGCAATGGAGTCTTGTGTGGTGAGCGTGCATACAGGTCATATTGGTTGAGTGCATTACTTATTGTTTTCTTTGAAACCGTTGTACCTGCTAATTCCAGGTCTTTCTGAAGCTCTCCACAAGTGGTCCATGGCTCTTGGACAACTCTTCTGGACATGTCCGAAAAAAAAAAAAAAAAAAAAAGTACTGTCATCGCCTTCTAATAGTGGTAAGAGTTAAAGCAGAGGTGAGCACATGCACATCATCCACTAGGTGGAGTGTTGTGTCCTTTTCCCATCATCCAGTCTGCAGGAAACACTTTCCCACTGCCACTCTTGCTTTAAAGAAGTGCTTTATGGATCAACCATTCTCCTGTCTTACTCCACCGCCCACCATCTTTCCACAATTCTCTTTAGCACCAACTGCTTTGGTCAGAGTATGAAAGGCGTGCCTCATTTTGGACCTAATAGTTTAGTCCACTACATGGTGCAACATGTCTTTTGTTACACAGAGGTCAGTATTGCTGAAATGGGTGATCAATGCCTCAAAAAAAATAAAATAAAAAAAAATTGCTCTCATCAAAAAAGTTTGTCGCTCCACAGCATGAAGCGGAGACCTCTCATGTCCACAAGACCTTTAAAGTGTCACTGAAACCTTATTTCCGAATGAACTTTAATTTTTCTTCTTCTCCATTGAGACATCTCAGGGTGTCACCCACGCAAGCTTTTTCTCTCCTTCACTTCCTGTACCTGGTTACAAGCAGTTCATGCATTTGCAGTCACAAGAACTTCTCTCTTCAAACTACGAATTCCAGGAAGTAATACACATGCCTGTTGAGCTTAGCAGCTCAGTATAAAGAGCGAGACACAGCCACGTGATCAATTGTTTCCTGGTCTCACTGTCACTCTGAAGCATGTGGGGCGGAGCTCTGTGGTGGAGATTTTATAATGGAGGTTTCTTGTGCTATTATGTGCCAGGGTTAACTGCGTCAACTCATAACAATAAAGTCCATCTTGGGAGCGAACAGAGGAGGACAGTTATATTCCCCACATATAGTGGGACCATGCAAACTGAACATAGTCACTCTAATAAATGAAATAGAAGGAGAGCAGCTTTGATATTCAGATTTCAGGATGTGCAGATAGAGAGCACTATTACAAGGTACAAGAGAGTAAACAGATATCTGCAATGAATTAGATTTTTAATAACAGGAGAGCCCGACTCTTTGGTGTACTCCACTAGTTTTGCATCCTACCAACTGACTTATGTCCTCCCTAGTACCCCCTTTTTCTTGGTATTAAAATTCTGGAAGGCTTAGGTGAACTTCACTACAAAGAGTCAGTGTCCTTGATTCTTGCAGTTCCTACTAAACCTAGAGTCATATCAGCTACACTCCTTGTGTGTAGCAGATCCTTTACCTCTTTTAGGGAATAGCAAGATGGTTGGGAGCTCTAGTTTATATTTCCCCTTCTTGTCCTGTTTCAGTACTCTGATTCTCCTTCCAGATTAAAGGAACTGGAATTATTACAAAATTTGTACAAAACTGGTCCTTCAGAGCAACAAGTCCCACTAAATTTATGTAGGACCATAAATTTACCACATTTCGTTGGTCAGTATTTTAGCTTGACCTCTGCTGGACTTCATCTGGAGGCTGTAAGAATATTCCCCTTGCAACTGCATTAGTGATTTAATTCCTTATGCTACACAGTGTTGGGTGTGACATTTGTGCTCACACTGTTCCCTTCCTAGACTCAAAGTATTTGTTCCGGATTCATCATCTGATGTTTCCCATTCTAAAAACAGGACTGGTCCTTTCTTCCTTGTAAGGAAGCATTCATCTTAACAAGATGCCTGTATTTCCCTGTAAGGTCAGCAGGCAGGATACCTTGTTACCCAGCTGCAGTGGAAAGCAGGAACGTGCAAGTCCAGAGGCCTCTGTGGGACATACTGGAGATGATCCTCTTCCTACGCTCTCAGTTTAATTATTCCTAATGCTAGCACATAGATTCTTACTCCAAAGCTCTTCTGCAGGAAATTTTTCTACAGCTATGTATATCGATTCATAAATCATGTGTTTAATGTTTTGATAAGTCAGGATGTGGCGTAGCTGCCACACCCCTGAATACCTTTGGGTGTCAGTATCCTTCTGGTCCTAACATCCTTGTATTTTAATTTGCATTACAATATATCCTTACCATGTAAATCCTTTAAAATTGGGTTGTCCAACCCTTTTAAAGGAGATTTAGGATAATACCATCCTTTTCCTTCTCTCTCCATTTAGATATGCTGCTGAGGGCTGTCATATCCATGAATATCCACTTGAGAGATGTCTAATCTTTCAGGTAACATCCTGTGTATTATTATTTTTCTTCCTGCAGTCACTGGCTACTGTACATGGTTGTTTTTTCTTTATAGTGGATTGTTGGATCATCCTCCAAATTATTAGCGGAGGTCCTTCATCCTTTCAGGTAGCAGTTTCACCTAAGTGGGTATTACCTGTCATCATCCTAAAATCTCAGTTTGATACTCTGTCTTTTCTTAGGTCATGGCAATTTCTATAGCTGCCTTAGCCCTTCATCTAGCCTTCATTGACTTCCTTTAGATGGTCAATTAGCAAGAATTCCATGCCCTATGGATATATGGCTACCGTCCGCCCCTCATTTGGTCTGCTTTTTGATGTCCCAAATATCTAAGATTTGTGTCCCTCAATTGACGATAAAGAAAGTAAGGTTTTTGACCTTACATTAAAATCTTTTTCTTGACGTCCTGAGGCTGGCTTAACACTTTTTTGTCTGCCAATATTCAAGCCTCCTTAAGCCAGCAATAGAACCCAAATGTCTAATTACTACATTCCTTTGTCACTCAAGAAAAAGATCTTACATCAAGTAGGAAAATCTGATTGTAAGAAATGTTAATATGGGGGTGATACTTGGGGATTTCTATCTTTATTGAATATTTTTTTAGAGCGATAAAAGGGATAAAAATTAATCCTGAATTGTTGGGCTGCCTTGCTGCATGATAGAATTGATATATGTCCACTACAGGTTTAAAAAAAAATAAAAAAATTCTTCTTTCCTCTTCAACTGTGGAAGGAAAGAGTTGCATTTTTGCAGAAATCCCTGTTGAAAATCCACCTTTTGCACATAGTATCCTGGTTGCATCTGAACTCAAGACTCCAGTGCCGCATTATATGCCACTCTGCCAACATAGAAACCAGCAAATGCTTCTGTTCATTATACATGCATTCCTTACCGTCCTGAAAAGCATGCTCCTGAATCCGGGTTACTGTGAGGTCTAAAGGACTGTCCTGCTCATCCTGAAGTAAGCTTTCTGTTTGGTTCAGCTGGATACCATTACAGCCAAATGGAGAATCAACCATTGTTCCATTGTCTTGATGCATTTTTCGGCTTTTTGAAACATATTCAATTGCGAATTGACGTATCATTTTCTTCATTAGTTCCTGAGCTACAAGTGGAATGTTGGGATCACAGTTCCGAGGAAGATCTGAGTAGAAAAAGACACAATCAGTTCTCCGCACCAACAAATGAATGTTTGAATGTTATCTCTACCAACATCGAACCAGTGGTTTTCATGATCTCACCGATTTATAACTATATTTTAATTCAAATCAAAAGTTACATCAAGTAAAAATCTAATTTTAAAAGAAAACCTGACCAAAAAAGGAATATGTTGGATTCCACTGCTGACTTCCTAAGAATATAGTTTCTTGGCTCTCTGACTTGAATACTCTTTAGGTCACAGATTTGGGACAAGCATAAAAATGTGAAAGTTAGAGGGATGTTCAGCACTATGGAAAATGTTAAGACTAAAAATGTTAAATGCCAGCCTAAATTTCTGCTGAATTGGCAAAACGTCTAAAGAAGATTAAAGCATTGTATGGCTACCTTAAAGTCTTCATTACACTACTGTTGAATCTGTGAGGTGGTCTGTGTGTTTTGGACACAGTAGATTACAGAGCATCTAGTCAGATTAGGGAAAAACAAGTGAACTTTCTAATTTTAGGAAACGTACACAGTGTGCTGAAATCATTAGTTGGACTGCCCTTAAGGGCTTTTGGTCAATTTTCATCATTGCAGCATTGAGGGTATTCTTCTCCACTGTGCTGTAGTTTGGTATGCTGGCTGCAGGGTGGAAGATAAAAAGTTCAGCGCTAAAGCATATCAAAAAAGTTCGTTCTTAGAAGTTCGTTGTCAAAAGTTCATAAGATATCTCGATCAATACTATGGTGTACACAGCTAGAAGGATCCAGTAGAAATGACAGAAATGCGCACTCACCGACCGTGCATAGGAAATGCGCATTTGTGTGTTAAAAACACAAGTGTCGAACTCCCTCAGGACGAGGTATCATCAGGCGGTGATCTGCTAGGCTCACAGGACCTCCTTAAGATCAGGATTAAAGACGGTCAGGTGAGGGCTCCCTCCTCCAGATATAGCCGTGTCTGCCAGTCTGATAACCCCTCAATAAGGGGTAAAAAACGGGAGAATGCCCATAGTGTAGTATATCAAAAGTTTATTTAAATAACATATATAACAGGACAGGTCAGTATTTCAAACTGGCAAACAGCCAGAAAGTGTATAGTAAAAATACTGGTACTGACCTAGAGTAAAATGGCCGCCAGACCTCCTCGTGGTCTGGGCGGCGATGAGGCGTCACAAGCTGTCAGTTCCTCTTGAGGCCTTTCGTGCTAGAGCACATCTTCAGAGCCTCCCCCCCTCTGAAGATGTGCTCTAGCACGAAAGGCCTCAAGAGGAACTGACAGCTTGTGACGCCTCATCGCCGCCCAGACCACGAGGAGGTCTGGCGGCCATTTTACTCTAGGTCAGTACCAGTATTTTTACTATACACTTTCTGGCTGTTTGCCAGTTTGAATACTGACCTGTCCTGTTATATATGTTATTTAAATAAACTTTTGATATACTACACTATGGGCATTCCCCCGTTTTTTACCCCTTATTGAGGGGTTATCAGACTGGCAGACACAGCTATATCTGGAGGAGGGAGTCCTCACCTGGCCGTCTTTAATCCTGATCTTAAGGAGGTCCTGAGAGCCTAGCAGATCACCGCCTGATGATACCTCGTCCTGAGGGAGTTCGACACTTGTGTTTTTAACACACAAATGCGCATTTCCTATGCGCGGTCGGTGAGTGCGCATTTCTGTCATTTCTACTGGATCCTTCTAGCTGTGTACACCATAGTATTGATCGAGATATCTTATGAACTTTTGACAACGAACTTCTAAGAACGAACTTTTTTGATATGCTTTAGCGCTGCACTTTATTCATCTATTTATACAGTCAGAGGAGGTTGTGATCCCCTCTTGTGCCATTAGCTGCTTACTTTTCATTGATATTTTCTTTTTATTTAATGAGCGCTCACTTTATTTTATATTTTATGGAAGATAAAAAGTGCTTGGGTGGTGAAAACAGCACAGCAGACCATAGGTCCAAATCTACCAAATTTGGATACAGCATATGACAGTCAGTTAAAAAAGCAGGTAAAAGCTATTAGTAGTGATCCAACCCATCCATTTTTCCCCTAGGGATAAAAAGTCAATAAATCCACTAGGTACAAGATCATAAGAATTGTATGTAAATGTGAAATGTAATATATATATATATATATATATATATATATATATATATATATACATATACACACACACACACACATATACATATATACACACACACACACACACACACACACATATATATTTATATATATAGTCAGGTCCATAAATATTGGGACATCAACACAATTCTAACAGTTTTGGCTCTATACACCACCACAATGGATTTGAAATGAAACGAACAAGATGTGCTTTAACTACAGACTGTCAGCTTTAATTTGAGGGTATTTACATCCAAATCAGGTGAACGGTGTAGGAATTCCAACAGTTTACATATGTGCCTCCCACTTGTTAAGGGACCAAAAGTAATGGGACAATTGGCTTCTCAGCTGTTCCATGACCAGATGTGTGTTATTCCCTCATTATCCCAATTACAATGAGCAGATAAAAGGTCCAGAGTTCATTTCAAGTGTGCTATTTGCATTTGGAATCTGTTAGTGACAGCTCTTTGGATCTCATCTTGAGAGTTGACAGCATCAGTGAAGCAAGCCATAGTTAGGCTGAAAAAACAAAACAAACCCATCAGAGAGATAGCAAAAGCATTAGGCGTGGCCAAAACAACTGTTTGGAACATTCTTAAAAAGAAGGAACGCACCGGTGAGCTCAGCAACACCAAAAGGCCCGGAAGACCACGGAACACAACTGTGGTGGATGACCAAAGAATTCTTTCCCTGGTGAAGAAAACACCCTTCAAAACAGTTGGCCAGATCAAGAACACTATCCAGGAGGTAGGTGTATGTGTGTCAAAGTCAACAATCAAGAGAAGACTTCACCAGAGTGAATACAGAAGGTTCACCACAAGATGTAAACCATTGGTGAGCCTCAAAAACAGGAAGGCCAGATTAGAGTTTGCTAAACGACATCTAAAAAAGCCTTCACAGTTCTGGAACAACCTCCTATGGACAGATGAGACCAAGATCAACTTGTACCAGAGTGATGGGAAGAGAAGAGTATGGAGAAGGAAAGGAACTGCTCATGATCCTAAGCATACCACCTCATCAGTGAAGCATGGTGGTGGTAGTGTCATGGCGTGGGCATGTATGGCTGCCAATGGAACTGGTTTTCTTGTATTTATTGATGATGTGACTGCTGATAAAAGCAGCAGGATGAATTCTGAAGTGTTTCAGGCAATATTATCTGCTCATATTCAGCCAAATGCTTCAGAACTCATTGGACGCCGCTTCACAGTGCAGATGGACAATGACCCAAAGCATACTGCAAAAGCAACCAAAGAGTTTTTTTAAAGGGAAAGAAGTGGAATGTTATGCAATGGCCAAGTCAATCACCTGACCTGAATCCGATTGAGCATGCATTTCACTTGCTGAAGACAAAACTGAAGGGAAAATGCCCCAAGAACAAGCAGGAACTGAAGACAGTTGCAGTAGAGGCCTGGCAGAGCATCACCAGGGATGAAACCCAGCATCTGGTGATGTCTATGTGTTCCAGACTTCAGGCTGTAATTGACTGCAAAGGATTTACAACCAAGTATTAAAAAGTGAAAGTTTGATTTATGATTATTATTCTGTCCCATTACTTTTGGTCCCTTAACAAGTGGGAGGCACATATGCAAACTGTTGGAATTCCTACACCGTTCACCTGATTTGGATGTAAATACCCTCAAATTAAAGCTGACAGTCTGCAGTTAAAGCACATCTTGTTCGTTTCATTTCAAATTCATTGTGGTGGTATATAGAGCCAAAAATGTTAGGATTGTGTCGATGTCCCAATATTTATGGACCTGACTGTGTATATATATATATATATATATATATATATATATATATATATATATATATACATATAAACATACACATATTACACACACACACACATCACATACACATAGTGGGGATCGAAAGTTTGGCCACCCCAGCTAAAGATTTGTATTAATTTGCATAAAGAAGCCAAGGAAAGATGGAAAAATCTCCAAAAGGCATCAAATTACAGATTAGACATTCTTATAATATGTCAACAAAAGTTAGATTTTATTTCCATCATTTACACTTTCAAAAAAACAGAAAACAAAAAAATGGCGTCTGTAAAAGTTTGGGCACCCTGCAGAATTTATAGCATGCACTGCCCCCTTTGCAAAGCTGAGACCTGCCAGTGTCATGGATTGTTTCTCAATCATCGTCTGGGAAGACCAGGTTATGTCAATCTCAAAGGTTTTCAATGCCCAGACTCATCTGACCTTGCCCCAACAATCAGCACCATGGGTTCTTCTAAGCAGTTGTCTAGAAAACTGAAACTGAAAATAGTTGACGCTCACAAAAAACTGGAGAAGACTATAAGAAGATAGCAAAGCATTTTCAGATGTCAATATCCTCTGTTCGGAATGTAATTAAGAAATGGCAGTCATCAGGAACAGTGGAAGTTAAAGCAAGATCTGGAAGACCAAGAAAAATATCAGACAGAACAGCTCGCAGGATTGTGAGAAAAACAATTCAAAACCCACGTTTGACTGCACGATCCCTCCAGAAAGATCTGGCAGACACTGGAGTTGTGGTACACTATTCTACTATAAAGAGATACTTGTACAAATATGGTCTTCACGGAAGAGTCATCAGAAGAAAACCTCTTCTACGTCCTCACCACAAAAAAATCATCGTTTGAACTTTGCAAATGAACATATAGACAAGCCTGATGCATTTTGGAAACAAGTTCTGTGGACCGATGAGGTTAAAATTGAACTTTTTGGCCGGAATGAGCAAAGGTACGTTTGGAGAAGAAGGGGCACAGAATTTAATGAAAAGAACCTCTGTCCAACTGTTAAGCATGGGGTTGGATCAATCATGCTTTGGGGTTGTGTTGCAGCCAGTGGCACAGGGAACATCTCATGAGTAGAAGGAAAAATGGATTCAATAAAATTTCAGCAAATTTTGGATGGTAACTTGATGCCATCTGTGAAAAAGCTGAAGTTAAAGGGAGGATGGCTTCTACAAATGGATAATGATCCTAAACACACCTCGAAATCCACGGGGGATTACATCAAGAGGCGTAAACTGAAGGTTTTGCCATGGCCTTCACAATCTCCTGACCTCAACATAATTGAAAATCTATGGATAGACCTTAAAAGAGCAGTGCGTGACAGACAGCCCAGAAATCTCAAAGAACTGGAAGACTTTTGTAAGGAAGAATAGGCAAAGATACCTCAAACAAGAATTGAAAGACTCTTGGCTGGCTACAAAAAGCGTTTACAAGCTGTGATACTTGCCAAAGGGGGCAGTACAAGATATTAACTCTGCAGGGTGCCCAAACTTTTGCAGATGCCATTTTTTGTTTTCTGTTATTTTGAAAGTGTAAATGATGGAAATAAAATCTAACTTTTGTTGAAATATTATAAGAATATCTAATCTGTAATTTGATGCCTTTTGGAGATTTTTCCATCTTTCCTTGGCTTCTTTATGCACATTAATATAAATTTTTAGCTGGGGTGCCCAAAACTTTTGATCCCCACTGTATATATATTGTAATGTATATATAATTTTTTTGTTTGCTATATTTAAAGACAGATATGTGGGCATGTGTTACTGACAATGTCTCTTATGATTGGAAAGTGTGGCTTCAAATCACATAAAATCACTATGACAAATCATAGTGATTACATTAGGTTTGTTTACAAACCTGCTGGCTCAAGCTGAAGCTGGTCATTGTGTGCAATGCGTAGCTGGTCAATAGGTAAACTACATTTCAGAAAACAGATTTTAGCGTAACCAAATTACAGGATGGAAAAAAAAAATCCCCCCCCCCCCCCCCAAAAAAAAAAAACAAAGACAACCGCCCCCCCCCCCCCAAAAAAACAAAACAAAACAAAAAAAAAAAACAAAGAAAACACAAACATTTTGCCACCCACTTGTCAGCTTATGATAAAACATGAGCAGGGATTTTTTTTTTCTTGTAACACAGTGTACTAATAGCCTTATATGACCTTAGATAATTTACCAATGATTCAGGGAGGCAAACCATAATTCTGCTGATGTAGCTAAATTTGGCCCTGGCATCTAGGATTAAGTTATTGCTAATCATTAAAAGGGTTGAATTAGTATTGTCAGATTTTTTCCATTGTAACTAAAGTGTACGTTTTTTTAGTCAAAGGAAATTACATACCTTTCTTCTGAAAGAGTGCATTTAGGTAATTTTCAGCTTGGCATTCAATTTTCTCTGTGTTGAACTGGCCCTGAGATATCACTTCCCCTGTAGGTGTGGACTGTGCAGAACCACCTGATGGTGTGCAGTCCTTACAAGGCAAAAAAAAAAAACAAAAAAGAAATTACAATCTTAGTTCACAAGAACTCCAGTAGCTTCTTGGTAATGTAATGCAGGCAGAAAGACTTACAACTGTCTCCTTGCGAAGGCTACATAATGAGCATTTCTCATCCACACACCAATCAACCAGTTCTTCTGGTTCACAGTCTAAAATACACAAAAACATTGTATGTGTTAAAGTTATGATGTATTTTAACTGAAAATAAAAGACATAAAAAGCATCCAGTAATGATTTGTAATTATCATACAAAAAAAAACAAAAACACACACACACACACATATATATATATATATATATATATATATATATATATCTATATATATCTATATATATACATACACACACATACAAAACTAAAAAAAAGAAATCTACACTAAAGTGGATCTGAACATAAAAATAAGGATATGGCATGTTCTAGGGAATATCTAGAGATGTTAAAGCACCCTAAAATATTTTCTACTGAATTACTACTGAATGGCAGTAAAGTTCCCATGCCTCATAGCTGTATATCTGCAGTATGAGAGAATCTCAGGCATTGCTTCTTCTGACTGCTTGCCTCATGAGATTTGATAACTCAGACCAGTTCCCAGACATTTACAAAGTGCTAGTAAAAGAAGAGGGGATGCTACATCATGGCAAACATGGCCCTGTCTCAACATTCTTGAGACTAGTTGCTACCATCATTTTCAAAATCACCTTAATTTTTTCTTACAATGGTAAATTTTCTTAGTTTAAACATCTGATATGTTTCATATTCTCTACTGTGAATAAAATATGGGTTTATGAGATTTGTAAATAATTGCATTCTGGTTTTATGTAGATTTTCCACAACATTCAAATGTTTTTGGAATTGGGGTTGTCCCTAAATGTGTAAGCCTTAGTAAAAACCCAGAGATGGTGGAATGCTTGCTTGCATTACAGAGAATCAGAGTGTTCATATGGAGAGAAAAATCACACTGCATGTACTACATCTAAACAACGCACAGAGATCCATTTGGGATGCTTTGGAGCAGAGGTAAGAGAAGGCATGGTAATGTCCTGATTAAGGTAGGAGGAACCACCTTAGAAAGAAATAAGGCTTGGAACTTCAAAGCCATCTTGTCTTTATGAACAAGGAAGACCGCCCAGTTCTGGGACCAAATTAGATGGACAGCCAAGGAAGCATCCAGAGTATGCTCTGTAAAGCAGAAAGGACGCAATTAGGATCATAAAGGTGACGCAGGTGAATGAACAAGGAGAGCAATGTGAGCCAAAATGTGAACAAATGCATTTACTAGGGAATTAGCAGCTAGTGGTCTCCGAAAGAAACTGGCCAGTACCAAGACTTCAGCCTTCAGCGTGCTCAAGAACAAAATGTTGCTCCAGCCAAGACTAAATATGCCCTGCGGAGTGAAATTTCGGTGTCTCACACCATGCAAAGGTAGCCTTACAAGTGTTATTATGGACCTTGCAGGAAATTAATCTGTTTAAGCAGCATGTCTCTCAGGACTTGGGTTTCAACAGCCAAGCAGTCAAAGCAAGTGACCATAGAGTAGGAAAGTAGACCTGTCTGAAAAAGCAAGTCTGGTCGATATTCACAGAACCAAGTTCTTCTGGGCCAATTTGGTGCTAACAAAATTACAGAATGCCCTTTATCTCAATCCTATCAAGTAGGCAAGGAAGACACCTTAGCAGAGGGAAGGCATATCAGTTGGAATGGACGCCACAGGGTTACAAGTCCACTGCAGATGCTTTGAGTCCTAATCCTGGCCACAAAACTGTCCACTTAGCTTTTAATGCAGGAAGACAACAGATCTTCTTCCAGTGTCCCCCAGTGGTGATAGGTCTCAAAACACACTGGGTTGAGGAGACAATTTTCCCTGTATCCAGGTGCTGACAATGCAAGTCAGCCTGCCAATTGCTCACTCTGGGAATATGGACAGCGGACAAGCCTGGGATGTGCCTTTCGTCCCAAGCCAGAATTAGGTCTGCTTATCAAAGCACACTGCGGCTTCTGGTGTCACATTGATGACTGATGCAAGTCATGCTTGTGGAGATGTCAGACTGAACCCTCAAGCAGAGTGGGTCAATGCAGAAGGGATAGGCAAGTGACCCTTAGTTCAAGAATGTTGATGAAAAGTCTGTACTCCCACTGCAACCATGCGCCAAGACCATTTCCATTCCTGGAACAGGCACCTGTTGTGAGAACCATCCAGGTTAAAGGGAGTAAGGGCTTCTCCGATTCCATCGCAGGGTTGATAAGCCACCAACTCAGAGGCATTCTGGCCTTGGGACATAACTCCAAAGCCCTGGATTGAAAATGGTCAAACATCACTGCCTTCAATGAGACCACCACAAGGTCCAGTATTCTCATGCAAAATCAGAAACGGTGGCAGGAACACGAGTTTTGATGGTAAACATTCATTTCCGGGACAGAAAAAAAAAATGGACTTGGGATGTGTACTCCAAACAGTTGGTTGGATCTAACCCAGATTTCTCTAGACTGAAAATCCACCTGAAGTCTCTGGCTGGCAGGGCTGGGGCAGAGTGATCCTTAAAGAGATCATCCAGATATAGGATAATGGGGAACCACAACCCTATAGTGCTTCTCACAGGAACTCACAGGAACTGCTAATTGCTGGGGAAAATGGGGACATATAAATATGCATTCTTAATGCTTAAGGATGGTAAAATTCCAGGATTGTGCCATGCGCTTGTCCCAGTCTGCCACAGTTTGGCATACAGCCATAGACACCACCATTGATTGCATGGCCAAGTTCAATAGAGCAAGAGAGACTTTAAGAAGGGCCTCTAACCTCTTGTCTGCTAGAACCATAATGGATTTTTTGAGGCAGGAAATAGCCAGATAAACCACAGGCACTTTCCACTTGTTGTGGTAGGCCTCCTTCACTAGAGGGTACCGCTGCACAACCCCCTTGACAGAAGCATACATATACGCAGCCACTCTTCATACAGCACATAACACACACACACACACTGGTGACCTTATGTCCAAAAGGTGGCGATGGTTCTAATTCCCAGGAGCACATCTCACCCACCAACTGCCTGTCCTCTTGGGAGGAGTTCTTAGACTCCGAGGATTCACTTTTCACTTCGTCCTCTTCCATCTCCTCCTCACTGGGGAGCAACTCTGCCACAATGGACAAGATGGACAATGACTTGAAGCTATAATCATGAATACGTGAGCACAGGAGGCCCATGTAAAATGTGACCCCCTTCACAAAGCACAGTTTTGCACCGATGAGGTTAATGCAAGGAAACACTGGAAAAACACTAATTACATGCATAGTATAGTAAGATGAATCTATAAATAACAGTAACCCACAGCAGCTTTTTATAGTCAAATTAGAAAATAATTATTTCAGATTGACTGCTAAAGATCACCGTATTTTGTATTCTTATTACCTTAAAACAGTACCCTATGTAAACAAATATTTTAGGAGAAAAATTAAAAAAGTGAAAAGTGCACCTTGCCCAAAAATATTATTTCTAGAACACCGATTCATGTATGAAAAGGCAAAATTGTGTATTATATGAAAATAAAATACCATCAAATAAACTGAGGTCTCTACGTAATCCTGGTCCATACAGCCCTTCTAGAATGCTCTCGAAACCTAGAAAATAGAAGAAATATAATCAGATTTCAAATTCTAGGAATAACATTAAATTAGTTTAACCGTACACTCAGACATGGGTTTTTTTTTTTCATTTGCAAAGTAAACATCGACAGCCAGTATGGAACAGAATTATTATCTAAAACAAAATCAACTTGGTAATGTGAAACTATGAGCAAACAAAATGCAATTTGTCACCAGCAATAATAGAGACCCTTCTGTAACATAGGTATATTACCTGTTGATCCTGCCAGGTGATCTGTTATTTTTCCACTTAATGTAACATCTCAAGATGTCCAGTGAAAGTAGCAGCTAGTGTCAGCAAACCATATAACGCTGGCAGTGGTGCTTACAATAATCAGTTTTTATTCATATGGCTTAAAATGGTTGAAACTCTTTTTTTTCCTTAATGCATTCTCTGTATTAGGGTAAAAAAACCAAACTTTCCAATACCTGTCCCCTCACCAAAGAGGACATTTGGAATCCAAGTTAATGAACCTTCCTTCTTACCCTTATACATTTGTCATTCAAAATGTTGACGGAAACCTCAAGCATAGAGGCTGCCAGAACTGATCTTTCCTGAAAATGTTGGATTCCCGGCTGTCATATTAACCAAGTGATCTCAATACTTTCTGGGTCATGACTCAAAAAAAAAACAAAAAAGCCGGTCAGGACTTCTGACCTTCCTAATCTGAATACTCATCCAGGTTTGTCTCAGTAAACTCAGTAAGGTCTCAAACCAAAGAGCCACAGAATTATTTAAAAAAACAACAGTAGCCTCTGTATTTTTCTTAATAGGTACAAATATCTAAGTATGTCATATCACAAGCATAACACAGCATAGGTATTCGCTCCACTGTTGAATCACACCAATAAAAATACACGCATGTATATACAGTAGTTTCTGTAAGCAACACTGAGAACATTTAGCCGGTGATGTTCAGAAATACATACAGGTGTTCAGTACCCAGAATAGAGTAATGAAATGGATAGCTGAGCCAAACACTGGTGAAATATAGAGGAGGAAAACCCAAGGTTTCGGGGATGCAAGAACCCTCTTTCTCAAGGATGTCCTACTTCAAATCATCTTGCATGCAAATAGGAGTCAGTCAAATCCAGAATGTTTTGGGAATACGCAGCTCAGTGTACAATAAATGGAAAACTGCCAGCAGGCAGTGTGTATTATTGAAGAAGAGACATAGCACGACTCTTTTGCAATATACAGCCTGTCTGCATGCAGTTGTCTACAATTAATTTTAAAGTAGAACAAAAACTAAATAAAGTCTACATTTTTATTATTAAAATAACAAACGTGTTATACTTACCTGCTCTGTGCAATAGCTTTGCACAGAGCAGCCCTGAACCTCCTCTTCTGGGGGCTGGCCCTTGTGGCTCCTCATCTTCTATGTGTGACCCCATAGCAAGCTGCTTGCTATGGGGGCACACATGCATGCTCGCTCCAGAGCTGTGTGTGTCTATGGAGTTGCGCTTAACACAGCGCGGTTTGGCCCCATCTCCCAAGTCCCATCTTACAGCATTTGACTGACAGCTGCTCATGTACCTGTGAGAAGAGGAAGAAAAAGTATAGAGGACTGCAGCTGGGTACAGCACTGGATCCCTGATAGGCTCAGGTAAGTGTTTGGGAGGGCAGGAAATAGTGGGGTGTTTTTGTTTTTTACCTTAAAGCGGAGTTCCAGTCAGTTTTGTGTTTATTAAAAGTCAGCAGCTACAGTTTTTTTAGCTGTTGACTTTTAATAAACACACTTACCTGTCCCAGGGTCCATTGATGTGCTCACCCGCGCCATCCCTTCTCTTCTCAGCGCCGACATCCACTGTGGGCACCAGGCTGTGACAGCTTGCAGCTTCACAGCCGGGTGTCCACTGCACATCCGCAAGTTGCGCTATGCATTCCGATTGGACCGGCAGTCTTCTGGGACCTGTAAATGTTCCCAGGAGACTGCGGGAGGAAGGAGGGGGCAAAACTTCACCGTAGTAAACTGAGCCGGAAGTGGGAGCGGGTACCTGTCAAAACCAAGTACCCACTCCCCTCCAAAAGCTGCCAAATATGGCAATGGAGGGGAGGAGGCAGCAAACAAGCGGAGCTTCCACTTTTGAGTGGAACGCTGCTTCAATGTAAGGAATGCATTAAGATGAAGGACATCCAGCTTTTAGAACCATTTTAAGCCATGGGTTGGATCATTGCTTTCTGAAGCACTGTAAGGTTAGGTTCACATTTGTGTGGGTGTGGAGTGCATGTAAATCACACGTGTTCTTGTACCCACATAAAAAACCAGTAGGGGTGTCAACCCTTAATGGCACCCCTACACACTGAAAAATTAGGTTTCCCAAACAAGGCTGCATTTTAAAAAAGATGAAGGGACCTTTTTTCCTGCAGGAAATTAATGGGCTACTGTGCCTGTGCAAACACGGCACACAGAACTGCTGAGATGTGAACCTAATGAGATTTTAAAAGTCTTCATTCCAACATGACAATACATCAAGCAAAACCACACCTAACACAAATTTGAAACTGTAATTGATAGGGAAAGTACAAAGTTTTAGGTTAGAATTTTAAGAAAAAAAGGATTCACTTTACTAGCACACATTTTCCAGAAGAGCTAATAAAAAAGTAACTACAAAAGGACACGTACATGCACATACATGCTAAAAACAGTAGTGCTAATTCCTTAGAAAACCAATTGTAATCCAGGATCAACCTGGAAGCTGGGCTCAGCCAAAAGCATTTCAACTCTAAAAAGGTTAGTAGACCAAAATGCTAAATGAAGAAAAAAAAATAATAGATTTGCTTCCAAAAAACACTAAATATTATATAGATCTACTGATCTTAAAAGTACTAAAAGTCTTTCTATATATCCTCGTGGATTGCAGAACTTATTCTATTACTAATAGAGAAATGAACAATTCTGGGACAAGTCAGTTCAGACATAGGCCCAGCAGATGCTTTTACTACATCACTCAGGGATTTGTTTTCTACAATGTATTATGATTTAATATACATACTAATATCTCACACCCTGGTATAAATTGCAATTATCACACTTTATGATGGATCACTTTATAAAAAAAAAAAGCCATTTTACAAATAAATTTCACAAAAGCCTTTAGGTCTATATGTACAATTGATATCAAGTGCTTCAAAGGAATGCTTCTGGGAACCCAGCGTGGATTGGACTGCAGTATCTGGGCTCACAATAAGGAGTGTTCTACCATCAAAGTCAGTGCTAAGGTTTTAGGAGATGAGTGTATCTGTGTACTACCATTTAAAAAGTTGAACTCCAGGAATTCAGCCACGTTGTACAACGTTCTAGATTTCTATGGATTAAAAATGGTTGTAAAGGCTGAAGGTTTGTTTTTTTTTTACCTTCGTGCATGAAGGTAAAAAGCCTTCTGTATGCAGCAGTGCCCCCAGCCCCCTCAATAATTACCTGAGCCACATTGGGATCCAGCGATGTGAATGACAGCCTTGGCTGTCCCAGGTCTCTGCCTCCTCATTGGCTGAGACAGCAAGCGGAAGCCATTGGCTCCTGCTGCTGTCAATCACAGCCAGTCAGCCAAAGAGGAAAGAGGGGGGCAGGGTCAAGCTACTGCTCCGTGTGTGAATGGACACAAGGAGCAATAGGTGCCCCCATAGCAACCTGCTTGCTGTGGGGGCACCTGAGCCAGAAAAGCCTGCATGGGGCCCGAGAAGACCGGGATCCAGGCTGCTCTGTGTAAAAACCACTGCACACAGTAGACAAGTATAGATATGTTTGTTATTTTCCAAACACAAAAAAAAAAAATTAACCTTTAGAATCGCTTAAGTCCATAGAGGTGCATGTCCCTTTGTGGACTTATCTCTTTAATCTACAATTTGTATTTTTACTGAGTTCTGGGAATCTAGCTATTGCCATAGTTCCAGAGCACCAATGCTGAACCAGCAGAAGAGAGGGGAAGGTAGAAATCTCTCAGAGACTCAGAAATGTAGCAATAGCTATACTCCCAGAGCTCTGTAAAACTGTCATGTAAATAAAAGGAGACATGCACCTTGCTGGACTTAACTCATAGTAAACCAACACATTTTACAGACTGGATGAATTCCTGGAGTTCAGCTTTAAACTGGTAGCGTATCGAAGCAAATGGAAAGAGGGGTTTTTGATAGCCCAGATAAAACTGTTAAATAAATTAGTCCAAAAGAGAATCTTCCCTCTTTTATCAAATAATCTACCTATATGTACAACAAAAGTTTCCCCATATAGTTCTATACGGGAACTAACAAAAGATCATAAAGTCCAGTGTCCCAATGATCAAAACGAAATCATAAAAGTCCAGTGTCTCGATAATCAAAATAGTAGAACCGAAAAAAAGGATGTGTATCTTGCAGCGTTGATTGTGTTCGGTGATTTATGTGAAAAAACCTCAAAGATAAAAAAAGACTCACAATAGTGCATTACCATAATATAATCAAAATCAAAAAAAAAAAAAAAAAAAAAATATATATATATATATATATATATATTACTTACATACTTCCAAATAAATAGTAAAATACTCGTGCTCAAAAATTCTGAAATCCTGAAGTGAAACACTCAGTGAAACTACTATCCACACGTGACGCTTCTAGTGAGTAAGGCAAATGTACCCTTACCAACAGTAGAGAAAAACCACGCCTTTATAGTATAATTAGTAGAAATCCTCCAAAGGAACTTTCTCCTCCTCTCCTCCTTCACTTATTGTTAGGGTGATGTTGTAATGCCATCCACTTTCCCAAGTCTATAATCATGGGTTTACCAGGCTCCAGTATAATAGAAATTAGCCATGACGTACCTCCATGTATTCAAAATAACATTTTAATAAGTCTGCTTACATTAAAATATGCGATTGAGACAAACCCCACTTTCTGGGGATTACCAGGCAGTTCCCACAGTTTTCCAGGCAGTTCATACACAGGTATCCAGCGATTCCCCAACAAAGATGGCCGCTGTAACACTTCCGGTTCCTGTTTCTTGCGTATGA